GGATCAACTCATCTCATCCCATCCCAGGCCTGGATCAACTCATCTCATCCCATCCCAGGCCTGGATCAATTAATCCCATCCCAGTCCTGGATCAATTAATCCAATCCCATCCCTGGACCAACTAACCCAAGCCCATTCCCTGCCCAGGAACAACCCAGCACAACCCTCTTCCCACCCCTGCTGAGCTCCCAGAATTCCCAGTGGGAGTTTTCCTTTCCCTCCCCAAGCAGACTCAGACTGGGTTTGGATGCAGATCCCTGCATTCACAGCTTTTCCTCGGGTGGAATTTCCCCAAAAACCCGAGTAGCTCATGAGCTCCAGTTTCAGGATTTGGTTGTTTTAATTCCATTTATAAACCATGTTTTTATGCCCATTTTTATTCTCCTCCCTAATCCCTCCGAGGCTCCCAGTCCCATTCCCAGGGATGGAAACTCAGGGGATCCTCCAGTTCCAAATTAATTTGGACAGGAGGCTTTGGAGACTCATTTTTGGGGACAATGACCACGAGTTTGGTCCTTCTGAGGTTCCACAGCAGAAAGGAGTGTTATTAAAAATTCCCACCACAGAGCTGAACCTCCCCCTGGGAAACATGAGTTGGAAATGTCATTTTTGGTGGGTTTAGCCCTAAAAAGGAGCCCTTACCTGGCACGAGGGTGATGGGTCTCACTGTCTGCCCTTGCTGGACGTTGAGCACGATCCCGACCTGGTTCATGGTGTTCTGGACGGGCCTCACGTTCCTCACGGGAAAGCCCTGGGATCAAACAGCACCCTTACCACACAGAGCGTTCCCAATCCCAACTTTTACACCCCAAAAAGCCAATAAATGGATAAAAACAACCCACCCCACAGTGTCAGCACCCAGAGGAGAGCTGGACTGTGAGGTGTCTTCCTTAGACTTGGCAATATCCCACAAACGGCCTCTGCTCATCCCTCTTCCCAAAGCACCCAAAAACCTTCTCCCTGAAAAATCCTCCTTCAAAAACCTCCTTTTCCCCAAAACCTCCTCCTTCAAAACCCTCCTTTTTCCCAAAACCTCCTCCTTCAAAACCCTCCTTTTTCCCAAAACCTCCTCCTTCAAAA